CTTTTATTTCTTCATTTTTCTCTCAAAATCTGTATATCTGCTTCTCTCCTTCTTGTGAATGTTTTGGGGAAGGGATATATCTGCTGTGTATTACTTGGCAAGTAATGGGTACCATTTGCAGTAATGTGCTTTATTTTTGAAATTGCTTCATGGAATAGTTGGATGTGTGAAAGGAAACAGTTTCAAGGACCTAAAAGCTAGCTTAAGAGACGAGTAATAGTTAATGTGCAATTTTCAGGAGCAAATCATGTTAAACTGATGTGCTTTTCTCCTAGCCTTATGGGTACAGGAGTAGTAGATGATGTGTATATCTTGACTTTACAGTGTTCAAACCAATATTCCCATGAGCAGCCCAGGAAAGTAACAGACTGCATAAAAAACGCCAAGAAGGGGGTTATACAAAGTCTTTCAGCAGTCTCACAGGTTTCACTCTTTTTCACTAATTTATTAGGTATACTCTGTATTCCAGCATGAATTGCAGTTCCTGTCATGGTGACTCCAAGTCTTCTGAAGGATGTTACAAGCCGGCAAAATACTGTCAAGTAATGTTGGCTGCAGTTCAGTTGGGGCAAACGTAGGATAATCAGGTGTGCAAGGAGAAAGTGGAAAATGATTGGACAGGCAGCAGTTTTGCAGAAAAGCATATGGGTTCACCAACTGAGCCGATTATAGCATTGCAAAACGAGCAAACGTTATGCTGGGTTGTACAAACAAGTGTGGTGCAAGTCAGACACAAGAAGTCACCGGGTCCCTAGGCAGAGCAGAAGCAAGCCGCTTCTGGAGCGTCTAGTTTTTGGATACCATACCTGAGAGGTTTTAGCCCAAAGAGAAATAGCATTTCCAGTGTGGTAACTTTCTTTGCAACAGCCCTTTGTGTATTTTGAGGGGAGAGGGAGAAGAGACCAAACTATTTTCCATGCCTTCTTGGAATAAAACAAGGAGTGATTTGCCTGAACTGCAGCGAGGGTGATCTGAGTTACGTATTAGCAAAATCTTGGTGAGTGCATGAGTAGTGGTGGACTGGAAGGGGCTCCCTGGGGAAGGTGTGGAAGGAAGCTTTCTTAATAAACCAAGATAACGGATGTCTCTTGAGTGCAGATTATGTGTAGCTGGAGAGCGGTTGCTGTGGAACAATGACTTCTGGGGTTGTTTTGCAGCCCTATTTTAGTCTCTTAACCTGAACCGTTATAATTGAAGGGCTATGAACGCCCAGTGTGTGCTTGCAAAATGTCTAAAAAGTTGAATTGTCTTATTGTGAGCAAAGTCACACTTTGAACAAGCAGAAGCACCCCTGGTAATAAGTGGTACTTACAGTTGGCAATAGTGGCTTTGTCTTTCTATGGGAAGGCGGTTGCATCAGTGCGAGCGAACGTGGGGCTGGCTACTGGCAGTTGAAGTCGGTCCGCAGTTGCTGTGTCTGCGATGAAGTACGTGCGCTGTGCGGCGTCCCTCAGTGTCTGGGATCCCAAGTGCGTGCCCCTATCTGTTCTCATTCACTTCAAGACATGAGCTCAGCATGTGCTGTCGTCCTCGTGCTCCCCCCTCCCCACCAAAGCCTCCCTTTGCATGGAAATTCAGGGATGGAAGAAGGGCAGAAACAGACTCTGTGTTCCAGCAGCGCTGTGGCTAAATCAGCTGGGAGCAGGACGGTGCTGCGTGACACGAAGCCTCCGTTTCCCATCGGGAGTCCGCCGCCAGCCTTGACAAAGCTTTTCCTTCCTGACGCACGCACGTTGAAGCTTTACGTGTGGGTGGGATTGTAGCAAGCTTTGTCAATGCTGCTGTTTTTTATTGCCAGACATATAGAGTGCTGCTATGCAGGCAGTTTGCTTGCTTCAGTTAGAGAAGAATATGGGGAAAAGGTTTGATGCTTAATTTTCGTAATACAGGCAGTCCTGTATTTAATGCCACTTATGTTAATCAGATGTAAAAATTACATCCGGAAAGGGAATATCTTTGTTATGGTGATCTAAATGAAAAATTGTCTCTACTAAATATATTTATTTTAAAAATGTTCAGTGTTTTCTTTGTGGACGGAGGCTTTTTTTCCCTGTTATATTGAAATGTACATGTTGATGTAAATTTTTGCTTTACTCTTCTGTTTTATTCTTGTTGGTTGGTGGAATTGCTTATGGATGTATTTTGATTATCTCCATATCTTTTGATTTGCAGGAGACAAAGACGGCAGCAAAGTGACTACAGTAGTGGCAACTCCTGGACAAGGTCCAGACCGACCACAAGAAGTTAGCTACACAGACACCAAGGTGATTGGAAATGGATCTTTTGGTGTTGTGTATCAAGCCAAACTCTGCGATTCAGGAGAGCTTGTGGCCATTAAGAAAGTCCTGCAGGATAAAAGATTTAAGGTGAGACTATGCATAACTTTAGAATATTCTTCATGAATGTTATCTCATTTTCCATTTCTTTGATGGCAAACTTTTATCTTGATTATTTTCTTTGGAGCACATAAATGCAAGCAAAACTTTCAAGACCAAAGATTAAACAGATGGTTTGTGATAAATGGATTTAGTTTAACTTGAAAATCAGTGAGTCACTGCTGTTAAGTTTATTTGGGTTACTGCAAAACAGGAGGCTAAAAGTCTTGGTTTGATGTTGTGGTGCTGTTTCTGGTCCCAGACGAGATTCGTGAGACAATGAACTGGGGAAACAAAGGAAAGGCTTTTCTTAAACTTACTTTCTTCTACCATAGATTCTTCTCAATTAGGCCGCTGGAAGGTACAGAAGTTTTTGGACTTTGTTCTTGGTTATTGCACCTACAAAGTAGAAGGCTGTTTTTGAGTAAATCAAAAAAGTCCTGGCCAAGGAAGAAGGTAATAAATACTGAGCCCAGGGCAGTTTGGACTGAAGGAGAGTTACTTCGCTAAGTGACTTGATTTATAAACGTGATCTATTCTCACAGTTTTAATAGACTAGTGAATCTTTTTTTCTTTTTAAATAACGAGTAGCCTTTCAAACAAAAAATTATATTTAGCTCTTGTGCTAGGTGAACATAAAATGTTTCATTGCTTTCCCTTATAGTCAAGTGGCCTGCAGATAAACTTGTTCAAGCTGTGAATGGTAACAAAGGCTTTTGATTTAGCATCTGAAATCAAAAGCATGGGTTTTCGCATCTGGAGGCCAGAGCTTCTGCACAGAAGTGTAAGGACAATAGGTAGAGAAGGTGCCACCAGTAATATTGTTGGCATGGTCCCGACATGGAAACTTTGGAGCTTAAAAATAGAAAATCAAAGCGTATTAAAAGAAAGTTGGCAATTTGAAACTCTCATTTGCAATTTGATTCCTATTGTTAGTTGCAGAAATACATCTGAAGGCTAGTGGATGACTTGTTTACCTCTTCTTGTTTTCTCCCTCTCTTTCTCTCTCGAGTGGCGTTTTGTTATCTGACTAAATATCTTTTTAGTTTGGATTGTTTCTTTAAGCATTTAGAAAAACACATGGTATCTTTGAACAGTAGCCCTCTCTTCGCTTTAAAAAACAAAAAAAAAAGGGCAGGGGACAAAAAACCTAAAGGCAGGGTGTTTCCCCCTCGGACTCTGAACTAATCACCCACGTGTGATGGACATAAACTGAGAATGTCACATATGTGGGGGCTTTAATACCTCCAGGTGGCGGTATTAATAGATGCATATGTAGATTTACAGGTAAATACAATTAATTTATATATTTATATATATTTTAAAAAATTCTAATTTGCATGGGTCATATCTGCAGTAGTAGCCAAATTATGCATTTTCTCATGCTCTTTACCCCAAACTGGTATCCCATCTGTATGACCTCCATCTTTTCTAATCTGGAAGTGCATGTTCTCCTGGCTGAAGGTGTAAATTCCTATATGGAGCTACTTATCCTTGAGGATGGATGAAAGCCTCTGCCTGGGCAGATTTGGAAGCTGGCGACCTGTATCTTGTATCAGGAGTAGCGTACAACTGCTTGAAAGTATGCTACTCTTTGGGAACATCTGATATACGTTGTAAATAGGGGATCAAATGTTTTATCCGTTAAACAGGGACTTCTGAACGTGTGTTAGTCATACAGTTAGACTGTAGCTTAGAAACAGACCATCTCTCCTGTTCAAAGAGCTCATTTGCGTAGCTGGGTTGGGCTGTCACCACCCCAGCGTGGCAGCCTGAGTCCCAATCTCAGTTCCAGTGACTAGAGTTCCTGCAGAAATTGGCCGCTTGTTATCTGCCCATGAGAATAATGAGGAAAACCCTAAGACAGGCAGTGGGAAGTGACAGTAGTGTGTGCATGTGGTTTTTTGTTTTGTTTCGTTTTGTTTTGTTTTTTAAATCAATGTTGTCAACTTCTGAGGGAAGAGAGGGAATAACGCTTTAGAAACATGTCTGCCCTAGTCACCGTAGTGGAGATGCATCAGGAAGTAGTAATGTACGGAAGTTACTTTCTGAAGTGTGGACCATCTGTGAAATTTTCAGCTGTGTGCTTCAAGCTGGTGTCTGCTTACCTCTAAAACCCTGACAGGGTTATCTTGGTACATGCTGCGTAATTCCTTTGTGTTCTAAGTCCCTGAAACTTAAGAGATGTGATTCAGAAGCTCTAGCAAGTCCCAAGAGAACATAATCTCTCGGCACTCCTTCTGCATGTCATAGGTTATTGAGAGGATGGGAAAATGCACCCCAGTAGCCAATTTTTAGATCTTTTAAAAATCATTTAAAAATTCATATGCGTATAGTTCAGTGTAACGTGCTAGAGCAATGGTATTGGTATACTAGGCATAGGGACAGATGACTGGGAAGAATAGCTTGAATAGAATTTTAGGCTTAATTTTGGTTTGCAGTTCTTCTGACCTCATTAAGCTAAACATTGGACCTGATCTCCGTATTAAGCATGAGAACTTAAGTAACGTCGTTTTGGACAGTCTATGTGTTACTTAGGTGAGTGGTTCACACCACATGCTGTTCATTGCTCATCTCTGAAACCATTCAAATTGTCTGTAATCAGAATGGGGAATCAGATTTTCTTTGGTCTTCTCAGTTAAAAGTTTGATAAGGATGACTGATAGACACTTCTGTTTGATGAATGGCATACAACAGATGTTTACAACCTTTTAGGGCGAAAATTACTCAAATGGTAAAACTTCCTAAGTACTGTCACGGCTTTCATAGATCAATACTGTATTTCTGCTTCTATCCCACAGGTGCATAAGGAGAGGTCCTCATGTGAAACATTCTTGATGCATACTGTTGCTGTTACATTATTTATTTCTTTTATTATTTTCCTCCATGCTTCTATGCATGGCCTTACCTGACACGATCTAATTGTGATGTTTTGTAAGGAAAAAAATATATAGGTAGCATAAATTTTTCTTGTGTTGCTTTTGTTGGCATGTTCCTTGGAACATTCTTCAGATTAAGAATCAGTCAGGTTGCTCTCTAATATGCAAAAAGTAATAATAAGAAAGCAGGTATATTAGCACAAATAGGAACATTCTTAGTCTAATTTTTGTATCGATTCTGTGATTCTTGGCCCACCCTTAAGAAATCCTGTAGGAATGAATACATGAATTGCTAGAAGTACTTCCTAGTTGACAGAGTATAAATACTTATGAACAGTTCATATCTGGATTGCAGTACTTAATGTTTCCCCTTTTTTTGCTAGGCTGTCACCATCTAAATGAAGAAGAGAGTTCTTAATAATTCTTAATACCTTTTCAGGCAATCTATACTGGGTATCAGCGGTCTTGTTAATAGCTCATATGGACCTCAACATGCAGCAAGAGAAAGCCACCTTCCATAGCATGAAGCACTCACGCTGTGCAGTGTGTCAAATAATTCAGTGGCTGCCTAGGTTCATTGCTAAAGTTGTATGTGCCCGTGGCTTAGTTGAAATAAACTCCTGAATTATTCAAATAGGTAGGTCTTCCGCAGTCTGAGCCAATAGCGAACTGCATCCCTGACACGCCATAAACATGAAGCTATACTTTGATATAGCTGAGGCCATTGAGTAGTAGGCAGTGCTGTTTCCTATTTTGCGCTAGGAATAAATGTTTTCTGCATTTGCATGTGATTTTTTTTTTTAAACTAAAGAAAATTTCAGTGTTAACGTGAACCTTACAACCCAATAAAGCAGCAGGATAGAAAACAAGTTTGTGTTGAGGTTCTGATTTTTCTTCCTCTGCTGGATCTGCATACTTGTGCGAGCCTTTTGAAATGTTTCTGAAAGAAGAACAGCTTTACTTCAGTTCTTGCTTCAAATATATCAAGCTGCTAAGTATGAAGAGATGATTTTTTTCAAAGTACTCTGTATCTGCTTTTTGTGTTAACTTAATTATAGCAACTTTGATCAAAGCCGCTCATGTGAAAAATGTAAAACCATGAGGAAAAACTCTCCTTTAAGAAAAACCTGGGTGTTTAGCTCTGTTAGCTCTTCAAGAGACTTAGTTTTTTACATGTTTTAAACAATTAGAAAAGTTGACCCAGTTTCTTTTTTTAAATAGGTTCTGCGTCTCTGCTTGTGGTTGAAGGTGTCATTCTGTGCATGTGCACGTGCACATGTGGACCTACTGACTAATGCAATTTGTGTCTTTTACTTTCAGAATCTTGGTGGTTAACAGACCCCATTGTGGTCTGACTTCCAAGCAGGTTTAATGGGTTTCACCCCTGGCAGGCTCTCCATGACTTGTTTCTTGGTTGTCCATTATTCTGGACTGTTCAAGATATGGGAAACAGCAGCATTTTATTGGAAAAAATGCTGCGTTTCCAGGGGCTTTCAATCTGCATTGAAGTAACTGTTAGGTAGTTGATCCATTTTGACAAAGGATGTGCCTTGTAGCCTGACAGAAATAAAATTAACAAAAGTCTCTTCTGCAGCCTTTAAACCTGGACTGTAGCTAGTTCTGCCTACAGACAGTACACAAGAGTTTGATACCTGGCCTCCTGACACTTGTTGGGAAACTCAGTTGGAAGGGCATAAGGGAAAAAGGGATCTCTGTCTCTTCAGTGCAGGCTGGGTCTCCCTCTTCCAGCTTCAGACACGCTGCAAGAAGCATCTTGTCTCTAAATATTTTAAGAAACATCTTCCCCCTATTGCTACGTTTTGTAGCTTTGCCCTCAGGTTATTAAACGTATAACTGAAGAGAAGCCGTCCTTACTGCTGAATCTTGAGGTACCACTTGAAAGACTTCTTTTGCCTATATGTACCTGAGCTGTCGACCTGTTCAAATACACCGTGTCCAAGTGAAGTACTTCACCCCTTTATAGAGAAGGAGTTGGACATTATCACAAAGATTTAGAATGAACACTGTCTTCATCTTAAGCCAGTGCTTTAAGTCTTAAATTAGATTAAAATGCAATGTGACGATTGTACCTACCCTGTTATATTCCTGATC